GTCACCCTCCTTCCATGATTTCCGGTACTGTTCCTCCATGATCTGGTAGTGGGGTTGCTGGTCTGGCAGTTACTTTGACAGTTATCCAATTTTTATTTAACTTTATCTCCCACAACTTTAAGGATAACTACCTAAAAATCCTCAATTTCCCATTTTAAATTAAACCCAAACTACCAGATCCCATCTTATCTTCTGCCACCTAGGATCCAACCTCTTTGGAAATCCGTCTGGGCCATTAAATTGTAAGCTAACCTAGCCCAAATCCAGCCCATTGATTTTCTTGATAATTGGGCTTTACCTTGACATGTGGCCTTACCCTATTGGTTTATTTTAGGTGTAAACAATGCCCCCCAACACTTGGTTTTATGGGAATAAATCCAAGTGTTTAAATTTTAATCTCACCTCCAAAGACTCCTAAGGCCACGTGTTTAATTAACTTAAATCCCCACTTTTTATGCTCCTTTCCCGAAAATCTGCAGATTTCCTTATCACATCTCAATCTTCTTTTCATTTAAATACTCCATTGACTCAGCCACACACCCCCCTTTTTTTTATTATTTTATATCAACACCTCATCGCCTACCCACACTTAAACTCACTTCATTCACCTTATTTGAGAAATCACAACCAAAATAGAAAAAACCCACCTTCTGTCGTCTTCTTCAACCTCGCCGCTTCCAGATCTAGTGCTAGACCATGGCTGGCAGCAAGAAAACCGGCATTGCATCTGGTGCCGTCGGAGCTTCTTCCCCTCAAACTGATCCTCCAGAACAGATGGACCCTGTTGACATCTTCGAAAACCAAGATCTGCAAGAAGAGCTTTCTTCGGTTTGTAATCAGGTACCAAAAGACTTTTTAGACCAAATTTTTCTTGAAACTTCAGATTCTTTAATTCTGGGTCCTGTTTTCACATCGACACCTCCTTCCAATTTGCATGCTCTGTATCCTCAACCTCACAGACATTTCCTCCCCTTCCAACTCGAACCAGACTGGGAACCTTGGCTTGGCAGATTTGGGTCTTGGCCAACTAACAAATCTGATGATTGGTCTGCTTGGGTTGCTCGGTTGGAAAAACCCTTTGGGAACACATGGAAAACACTGGGTCTGTATGAATTTATTCAAATGACCACCTATCAGACGTCCATGGATAGGGTTTTACTTGGAACTGCCTTGCTGTTTTGGTCTGGGTCTTATAATTGTTTTCATTTCCCTTGCGGTGCTATGTCTGTCACTTTGCTTGACATTTGTTCTCTTACTGGTCTGCCTTGCGTTGGAGAAGAAATCATGGCCTTATTGAGCGTCTCGGGTGCTGATTTTGACACAAAATCCATTCTACCCTCCTACAATGCCTTTATTAAAGCTAGCCAGCAACCATCTGAAGCCCCAGACGTGAGAGAACATACTGCATTTCTGCTAACCTTAATTTGCAAATTCATTGTCTGTGTAGCTGGAAAAGGACCCACTAAGGAGTATATTACTTTGGCCTTGGCTTTAGCTCATGGTAGGCATCTGGCACTTGCTCCATTTCTGTTGGCTAGCCTTTATCGAAGTTGCTATGATGCTACTGTTTATCCGTTCAGCCTCTGTGGTGGTCCTTTGTGGCTTTTGCAGCTTTGGTTGTACTGTTATTTTCCAACTTTGGCTCCTATTCTCAAGCCGCTGCCTATTGAAAAAATTCTTACTTATGGCATGATTTACAAAGATGCCACATTTGAAGACAAACCTGTTAGGACTTATGAAACTTGCTTCCAATTTTTTGCTTCCCTCTCCATCGATAAACCAGACTCTGAATTTGCTCCATTCCTAAGTAGACAATTTGGGCCGGACTGGTATAAGGCGGAAATAGGAACAACAGACTTCATTTCAGCATGGACAACCTATGTGACTCCTCGAGATCTGTTTATAGGTTGTAGTAACAATTGTAAAAAGAGTGGGGCTGAGCTCTATGCCCTTAACCAATTCAGCCGGCAATTAGGCTATTGTCAAGGAATTCCAGTACCTCCCATGTTCTCTTTCAACCACTGCTTCCCTCTTCGAGACACCATGAAAGGACCTAGTGTGGTCTCCAAGTGCTTAGCCACTTCAATGCTTGCTCTTCAGAATATAAACCTCCAAGATCCGCCATTCAAACCTAAATGCACTACGGCATACAAGGAATGGTGGAAGTCTTATTTTACGCCAAGCTTTTTTGGTGTGGCCAAGAACTTTATCAATCTTCTTCCTTCTTCACATTCCAGCCAGCCTGCAGTAAACATAGAACCTCAGACTGATGATACAATCCCAGATTCTGCTGCTTCACGTCGCATTTTGGCAAAAAGAAGGGCAATAGCCAAGTGGAAGGCGTCTAGCATGGCCAGTCCTGAAACAGACAAGGCATCCCACCAAGCTCCCAAAAGAGGAGGTATTAAACGAGCAGCCCAAAAACCTCCTTCAGTTAAAAGGTTGGCCACAATGTCTCCATCATCTCCCTCTGAAGCCTCCTCAGCTGTTGATGTCCGTCTGCAAGGCTTGATTGATGAAATAACTCACAATCCCACTATTAAAGACCCAATTGATAAGTCTCCAAGTCGCGAAGATTCAGACTCCTCTCCTTCAAACACTCAAAAACTTTCATCCAAGACGAGAAGTTCTCGCTCCTCCTTGCGGCTTGCTAACAAGAATTTCAAGACTGTCAACCCAAATGAAGTGATCGATCTCTCTCTCACCACCAAGAAGACAACCACTTCCACTACATCAACTCCATTTCAAGCCAGCTTTCCAACCCCCACAGTAAGTAATTTGTTCGTGAGAATTCACAACAAAGTCTGCTTTAAACTTCCTGTCTGTAAGCTCTAATAATTTTTATAAAACAGATTTCAACTTCTCCAACTACCATTGATGATGCCATGGAAGACGAAATCTTTGCCAAGTTTGAGAAATTGACAAGTCCTCCACTGTCAAGAGAGTTACGTCTGACAAGGAAAGGAAAATTGGTAATTGAGAATACTGGCTCAGACACGCCAATACCTAGCCCAGAACAGATCAGCATCGCTATCCAGACCTTAGGGGAGCTAATTAATGGAGATCCAGCAAACTTCTACCGCCTCCCAGACCAGCCAACCATCATCAGCGCCGCTAAAATCTTAAGTCACTCGCCAGATTTGTCTGTAACTCAGAAAAAATTCTGGACTGACTTCCCTTTTATCTTCA